AAGCTACTTTTGGACCATGGAGCAGATGTGAACAGTACACAACACGAGCAAGGGTATACTGCCTTAATGTTTGGAGCCTTGTCTGGTAAGCAGTTTCGGTTTGACTCATTGCTCATTGTAGTGTAGTTATATTATGTATCAGGGACAGGTAACGACTTTTCGCAAAATCTTTCGTCAGAAATCATGTTTCGACGTTGCAAGCCCAAGATTGATTATGGCTCCCAATGCAACGCTGATTTCAGATCTTTTATGGCTGTATATATTGTAAGGCTTATCAGTAATTCGAATTCGGGCCACTTGGCAGCAAGCGTCAGACTTATTCATCAGAGATGCATACTTATTAGAATTTAGTACCAAGTTGCCGATGAAGACATGTTCTTCAGCAGTATATCTGCGTATCTTCGCTGTTTATTTAGTTGCAGTGCCGGCTTTCTCTTCAGTTTTTCTGTAGATGTGGCAGCTACCTTAATAGGTTTCATCAGTGGTCCAAGTCCTCATTCAAGTGAGCAAGCTCCATGGTCTAGGTTACAAGGCGCGACATTGCTAGATTTGTATAATTTAGTCATCTGGTCCACATATTTCTTTGTACAAAAAAATACAAATGTCGATACAGACGGAGACCATGAAGTGAGTATGTGACACATTTTTACATGATGTCATAGTGATCAGCTGACGAAGTATGTTTAAACGTTTTTTTTTCATTCAAGCAGTTTGTTTCCATTTGTCATCCATGCAAATCTTTGACCCTTAGCTTCAAGAGACGACTGGAAATGACACGAATGAAAATGTGCGACGTCGATCACACTCAGAGCTGGTGGCGATTTTTCCCTCCATGAAGTTAACTTCGTATTTAAGATAACGATGAAGATGTGAAATCGTACAGAAACGAGCTGTGGTGGAGTTAAATTGTTCTCATCCTTTCCATGTGTCATAAATGTTTGTCATTAACAACGAAGCGGTTCGCTAACGAAGCAGTGATAACTAGGGATGATAGATCGCTATTTACAGAAGAAGCTTGCCTCAACGTCCTGTTAAGTAGGAGGAATTGTAGCCGTCTTGTAGTTTGTTCTGTTCTTTGAAC